GTTAGACACACCTGACATTCCATCAACAGCTTCCTATCTCATTCAGTAAAAGCAAAGATGTCATATTAGTTTTCAAAGCTCTACAGTAATCTGTCCCTGTCCCAGATTTAATCTTCTACTATGCTCTCTCCTTCACTCACTCTGCTCTAGCCCCACTGGTCTTCTTGCTAGTTCTTACCAACCAGGCAGGCCCAACATAGGGTTTTTGCTCTTCCTGTTCCCACTGTTGGGACTGTCCCTATTCCCCAGCCACGCTGAAATGGCTACTCCCTCTCCTCTTTCAGGTCTGTACTCAAGTGTCACTTTCTCTGTAAGGGCTTCCCCAACTACCCTATTTACAACTGTCCTCCCCCAACCCCACCCTGGCACTCTCCACAGCACTTACCACCATCTATCATATTATATACTTGACATTAATTTTGTTTATTGTTATGTCTTTCTACCTAAAGTAGAAAATTAGTTTTACAAGGTCAGGGATTTTTGTCTGATTTATTCATCGCCATTTTCCCAGTACCTATAATAGGGTCTGGCCCATGGAAAAGGAAGGAGCAGAGGAGGGAGCAGAAGAGCAGGACGCAGAGGAGGAGGAAGCAGAGGAGGAAATCAGAATATGGAAGACTGTTCTCTTCCTATCTGAATCACATTATGATTATGTGATTCACCTCTTCCCATTTTATCCTTGATACTCTTTCTCTGGCTCCTCTTCCTCTGCTTGCCCCTTTTTAAGGATTCCTAGGGCTCCCACCTTCACACTCTACTCTACAGAGCGTCTACGTAGTCTCCTTACGTAAACTCATCCATGACAGAAAATTTCAATGATTACCTAAACATTGACAACAAAGCTATTTCTCTGGGCCAGACCCTTTCCTTAGCTCTAGACCCTCATAATCAGCTACCGACTAGACAAAATCCTACCACCTAATTCCTCTCATCCATCCCCTCCTCTCCGTTCCCACTCACACTGTCCTACCTCACTACTCAAATCTCTGGATTAGATAATTACTCTGTGAGGTAGGAGAGTGTAATGGTTAAGAGAACAGGACTCGTATCACGAAGACCTGGATTCAAGTTCCCAGCACCACCTCTTCTTTAGTAGAGCTAGCTGTTTGAATCAGGACAAGTTATTTTATTGATCTCTGCAAGCTTCAGTTTTCTCACCTGTATAATGGGATAATGTCAGTGACAGTCAAAACAGCACTTTACACGGGGAAAAGCATTCAGGTGCTCCTCAAAATCTACTGGCTCTTATTTCAAAGACAATTAAAATAATATCAGTTTCTCCTTATTCTTGATCCATTCTTAGTTTTGCATCTCCTTCCCTCTTTCTAACAGATAACATATATTTGTATACACACATGTATGATCTCACATTCTAATAACAGAAGGGGGTAACAAGCTAAGAACAAACTGGGCATTACTTTTGGAATAACTCAATTTGAGCCCTAGTGGGGTCAGATTTTCATGGGGCATTCCATTCTATAACAAACTCTAGGAAGCAGTCTTTCATATATAATTAGGAAAACATTCTTCCATTTCATTCTGTAAAATTCCATTCACAAACAGCACAATATCATTCGATATCAATATATGATGTCAGCCAAAGCACTGGAGCCTGGCAGGGAAAGGAGAAACACAGCATAAAGAACTGTCCCTGCTAATTTCCCATTGTTTCTTGGCAAGACTATCTCATTAGGGCAAAATTAGAGCTCAAAGTGACAGGCAGTAGCTACACTCATCAAATGTTGGAAATGCTATTTCAGAAATTCAAAATCAGACTTGACATCTTTATTGATGCTATACAGTTAGTAAACCAAATGTGACCAAAATAGGATGATATATCTGTTCCTAAATTTTAGAAGTATAAAGCTATTTAATTAGTACTCAGCTAAAATACTTTACCTGATAAACTACTGTACATAGTGAGCAATAAAAATAAAAAATGACCAGGGGCCGGCCCAGTGGCGTAGCGCTTGGGTTCGCACACTCAGTTTTGGCGGCCCAGGGTTTGCCGGTTCGGATCCTGGGTGCAGACCTACTCACCGCTCATCAAGCCATGCTGAGGGGGCATCCCACATAGAACAACTAGAAAGAGGTACAATTATGACATACGAATATCTACCGGGTCTTTGGGGAGAAAAAAGGAGGAAGATGGGCAACAGATGTTAGCTCAGAGCCAATCATCTTCTTCAAAAAAAAAAAAAAAAAAGGAACTTGAAAAAAAATGACCATAAACATAAAAAATAATAATACTATGTAAATACTATTTACTTATGTTAAGAAGAGGTTTGGAGAAGAGAAAGCTCTTAAAGGAACTACTATTAGAATTTATTTCTAAATTAACACTAATAAATTTAAACAATTAGATTAAAACTAGAGAGGCAATGAAAAAACATTACATAGTCTTTGGAGTTAGACAAACTTTGGTTTAAATCTTGACTTTACCCCTCATGAGCTAATTGGGCAGGTTATTTAAACTCTCTAAGCCTATTTCTTCCTCATCTATAAATGGAGATAATGACCCAATCGGCAGGGTTATTTAAGAGATCAGTGATAATTTTGCATAAGATAACATATTTGTGAAATTGTAAATATTGTGAAATAATATGTGTATAGTTGGCTATATTGACATACAGTTGCTTAGTAAGTGGTAATTATTACTTTTCAAATACAGCTGTCTGAACAACATAGAACAAATCAAAATAGTTACAAAGTACTACTCTATAGTCAATTCTTGATCATAATGACTAAACTACAGAGTTCAAAACAGCTAAATAAACTTAAAGCATTCATTTTTAGTTTTGAAATACTTACAATTATTTTTGCAGCAAATTAACTATGTCCAGGTGAAGGCTATGCATAATAGAAACAAAAAGTTGGCTATGTTCAAATCAATCTTTTAAGAATAAATTATAATTTAAGAAAACATTATAGTCCACACAACAATTATCAGAACGCATCATGAGTTCCGTGTCTATCGTGCTGACTGTGGTATACCCAGTGTCTGTACAGTGCCTGGCACGTAACAGGTACCTAGTAACTATCTGTTTAATTGCAGTCTACACATATCCATTTAAGATTATTCCAGAGGCGTAACGGTCCAACGGTAGAAAAATAATCCAAAGTGATAAAGAAGCACACTTGAGAAGTAATTTTAATAGTAATTTTAATAGAAAATTAGTCAGAAATCTCTTAGTCTTTAAAAAGGCATAAAAGGACCTTACTAAACCACCAGCACAGGCTCAGTGTGAAAAGATAAGACTAAATCAGAAAATTAACTGAAGAAAAGTCCATCAACTGGTAAAGAGGAACATCAGACCAAATTAGTCACCAGCAATAATCTTCCAGAAAATAAGAGAAGCTACAACTATACAAATAAAAACAAAGATATATATTCATCATAAATTTAAGGAGGAAAGGTTTAAAATAAGCCAAGGGATCCTAAGGATTTTGTAAAATTCTGTTCACTCTTACCAATCACCTAGTAATAGGGTTTGTTCTAATTTATTAAATTCAGTTCATTTTCACTGCTTCTCTATTGCATGCTAAGCAGTGTAGCAAGCATTATGAAAAATGCAAAGATGAGGTTCAATCTTGCACAAAAGGAAGTCATGTGCACATGGCTAATATATAATAAACATCTGGAACCTTGGAAACAGGGCAAGATCCTGATCTGACGCCTACTCGAGTCCTCTTTTCCACCTCTGCATCTTCTACTAGTTCGGTTATTTAATCACCCTTCTAATTTCAAACTTTAAGTGCCAGCAACTTGAATTCTAGAGTTATTTTACCTTTTTTTCTTAAGAAAAAAAAAAAGATTTTTAAAAAGGGGTTAGTTTTTAGCATCTTCAATTTTATTAGATACAATATATGCAATGTTAAAAAAGCTCTAAAAAATCCATGTTCACCTTAAAAAGGTTTGTGAAACACTTTAAAGACAAAAATCTCAAATTCTCCATGAAACAAATGAAGATGAGGTATGTCTGCTATTTTCCTACATGAAAGGTAACTAGGATGAGCAGCAATAGGAGGATGGTTTCAGCAAAACAGGAGGAGTCAGGATTCACGGTGGGTCCTCTTCCTGATTTTGTTAGGCTCCGAGCAATCTTAAAATTATGTTATTCAATTCTTATGGTATTGATTTATGTTTCCTCCCTCCCAAAGTTGAAGTTGAACTTGAATATTGTTGGTAAAGTAATTTGGCAAGATTCTGATGTCACTTCCTTCAGTTTTAAAATTTGTAACAGAATCATAAAAATACTTGTTCTCAAAATAAATACCGTTCACACACAAAAATTAAGCATGGGATTTAATAAGCTCAACTGAAGAACAGTTCCATCAGACACTTTAAAACACAGGATAACATTTTTCCCTTCTCCATAATTCCTCTGTTAAGCTGACTCTTGACAGTACAGACAATCAAGTTTGAGGCAAAGAAATGGAAATAACAAATGTAGATGACTGGAGCCCGAGACAAGAAGGTGGGGTGCAGCCCGGGGCTGATCGCAGCTCCTCCAAAACTTGCACCCAGAATCTGTGGCACCGGACAATTAAATGTGAACAAGGAAAAGCTTACACAGCATCGCAATGTTAACCTGACGACCCAGCGCTTTTCCGTTGCAGGAGGCCGCGAACGGCTGAAAGCCTCTGAAGCTAAAGCACTTCCAATTTTGCCCAAAAAAGTGTAGCGCTGAGAGGAGGGCGACCAATTTCACCAGACTTAACCCCAAGCAACCCAAATCACCCAAATCCAACGCCAAGAACTAAACCGAGACTCGCACTCCCGTGGGTACAGGAGGCCTCCTCACCTCCTTGGCCCAAACCGCCCTCGCCCTCCCGGATTAAGCCCGGCCAGGCCACTCCGGTCCGGGCCCAGGCCCCCGCCCGAGCGGCCGGCCCTCAGACCCCGTCGGGCCAGCTGAACTCTCGCCACCACCCGCCGCCTCCCGCTCTGCCCGGTTGGACCCGGGCCGGCCGCGAACGGCTCTCCCGCGCCCGACTACCTTGGTTGTACGGATGTGCTCCATCCCGAAGCTTCGTCTGCCGGAAGCTCGCCTCACAGGCGTACCACGGAGCCAAGGAACTTGGCGGACGACAGCTACCCGACGCACCGGGAACTACCTCAGCCAGCCCCGCCGCGGCCCCTCAGTCGGCCCCCGGCGGCGTCAACTGCGCAGGCGCAGCGGACCAGCGCCGTCTCCTAGAAACACTTCCCCAAACCTGGCGTCGCCGAGGGGGCGGACGGGCGGGACAGAGCGTCGGCCGAAGGAGAGCGGCGTCTGGTTCCTTCGGAGCCGCCGCGTATCCTAGAGCGCCCCCTGCATGTGGAGGCTCACCAACCCCTGACAGAAGGCGGTCCTCTCTTGGGCAGCTGACCTAGGACTAGAAAAGCAAGAGTGCCGAAGGGGTCCGGAGAAGACTTGTCTCCGCTCGAGAGTGGATCCTTGGACATGCTTGTGTAAAGAGAATTTAGTTAGTGAGGGTGACACAGGATGTCACTGAAGTCCATTACCCTACCAATGGACAGCACCAAATTTTAATACTTCGTCTTTAGTTGGAGCTGCAATTCTACTCACAAGAATCTATTGTAAGTAAATAATCAAGTATGTTTATGCAGCCTTATTTGAAACAAAGTCTCCAAGGATTAGTTATGTAAAGTGTGGTATGTCCATACACTGTTAATACCAGCATCCATTAAAAATTATGCAGTAGGTCCAAATAACAAGTAAAAGCCGAACAATCTGAAAAATCAACAACTTTTCTTAGATCTATAAGAGAACTGAGGTCACAGGGCAAACCACTGCCCCCAAAATTAGAGAGAGGGTCAGGTGAATACCGAGAATCACAACTTACCGGAGCAGAAACCCACAAGCAGCAACCTCCCTGGGAACCAGGGCTAGGCAGTTCCTTTTACCCAGTACATCACATCTGACTATTCAGAAAAAACTACAGGACATACTAAAAGGCAAAAAACACAGTTTGAAGAGACAGAGAAAGCATCAAAACCAGACTCAGATACGGCAGGGATGTTGGAATTGTCAGACTGGGAATTTAAAAAATTATGATTAATATGCTAAGGGCTCTATTAGGTAAAGTAGATAGTATGCAAGAACAGATGAGTAATGTAAGCAGAGAGATGGAAATCATGAGAAATAACCAAAAAGAAATGCTAGAGATAAAAAAAACACTGCAACAGAAATGAAGAATGCCTTTGATGGGCTTATTAGTACACTGGACATGGCTGAGGAAAGAATCTTCAAGCTCAGGGATATCTCAATAGAAACCTCCAAAACTGAAAAGCAAAGAGAAAAAAAACTGAAAAAAAAAAGAAAACAAAACAGAATACCCAAGAATTGTCAGACAACTACAAAAGGTATAACATACACATAATGGGAATATCTGAAGGAGAAGAAAGAAAGAAAGGAACAGAAACAAATATTTGGAAAAATAATGAAAGAGAATTTCCCCCAAATTAATGTCATATACCAAACCACAGATCCAGGAAGCTCAGAGAACACCAACCAGGATAAATGCCAGAAAAACTACATATCGTTCTCAAACTATGGAAAATCAAAGATAAAGAAAAAATCCTGGAGAAGCCAGAGGAAAAAAGCACCTTACCTATAGAGAAGCAAGGATAAGAATTACCTCTGACTTCTCTTCAGAAACTGTGCAAGCAAGAAGAGAGTGGAGTAAAATATTTAAAGTCTTGACAGAAAAAAACCCCACCACCCTCGAATTCTGTGTCCTGTGAAATTATCCTTCAAAAGTAAAGAGGAAATACTTTCTCAGACAAACAAAAATTGAGAGAATTTGTTGCCAATAGACTTGCCTCGCAAAAAAATGTTAAAAGAAGTTCCTTAGAGAAAAGGAAAATGATATAGGTCAGAAACTTGGACCTACATAAAGAAAGGAAGAGCATCAGAGAAGGAATAAGTGAAAGTAAAATAAGAACTTTTATTTGCAACACTGTGATTTGATTGTGTGTGTGTGTGTGTATGCTTATGTATAAGTGAAATGAAATGAATGACAGCAATGATAGAAGGGACTAGAAGGAGAAAGGAGGAATTAGGATTATTTTGTTATACAGTACTTGCGCTATCAAAAAAAATCACACTGTAGAGGAATATTACGTAACAAAAACACAGTGATTACTGAGTGAAAAATAAATGGCTATAGAGCCGTAAGTTCAATGTGACTGTGTTGGTAATTTTTATTTATGTAAACCAAAAGCTTACATCTCTACTTAGATAGGTGACTTTTGTAATTCCTCTATTTCAGTGGTTCTCAGTCTGGTGGTATTTTGCCCCCCAGGGACATTTGGCAATATCTGGAGACATTTTTGATTGTCACAACTAGGTGTGGGGAGTGCTACTGGCATCCAGAGGGTGGAGATGAGGTCTGCTGCTGCTGAACATCCTACAATGCACCCAGACACCACCCCCTAGCAAAGAATCATCTGGCCCAAGATGTCAGTAGTGCAGAGGTGGAGAAACCCTACTCTATGTTTTCCAAGCGTTCTGTACTAAGCAGTTTTCACTTTTTGTAACTACAAAATGTTAGAGAAAGAGTCAGGCGAATACTGAAAATCACAACTTACAGGAGCTATTTTTAAAATGTCATCATCGTTTTTATATCATATTTACCTTTGATACACGTTTCCTTTGATACCTTTGGTGTTACAAAGACATCTCTAACATCTAAGTTTTCTTTTCGAATTAAAAATTTTGTTTCATTTTGCCAGCATTTCATCCATTTATTTTATTCAAGTTGTCTTGGTGTAGCTTTGTTTTGTTTGGAGTGCCTGCTATGTTTCAGACGGATTGCCAAAGCAATGTAGATGCTTATTAAACACAATAGTCTGGGACCAGCCCCATGGCATAGCAGTTAAGTGCGCGCTCCACTGCTGGCAGCCTGGGGTTCAAATCCTGGGCGCGCACCGAAGCACCACTTGTCAGGCCATGCTGTGGCTGCGTCCCATATCAAGTGGAGGAAGATGGGCACAGATGTTAGCCCAGGGCCAGTCTTCCTTAGCAAAAAGGAGGATTGGCATGGATGCTAGCTCAGGGCTGATCTTCCTCACAAAAATAAAAAAATATATAAATAAATAAATAAACACAACAGTCACAACAGTCTTTGTGGTGGACTGACTTACTCCTGTAAGGTAAATATGGAATAAGAATAAGATGGAGCCACCCAGAAACCAATCTTGGTACAGTATTACATCCAAAGGAAACACAAATCCTATTCAAAAAAAGCCATTGAAAACTAACGTAGGGGCCGGCCCAGCAGCGCAAGCGGTTAAGTGCGCGCGCTCTGCTGCGGTGGCCCGGGGGTCACCAGTCTGGATCCCAGGCATGCACCTACGCACCGGTTGGCAAGCCCCGCTGTGGGAGCGTCCCATATAAAGTGGAGGAAGATGGGCACGGATGTCAGCCCAGGGCCAGTCTTCCTCAGCAAAAAAAGAGGAGGATTGGCAGATGTTAGCACAGGGCTCATCTTCCTCACACACACAAAAAAAAGAAAACTAATGCAGGTCTTTACTGAAGATCTTTTGAGAGAGAAAAGGATGAATTATATTGCATAACATACATCAAGACTTCCTTAATAAAATCTATTTTTATATTATTTTCCCCCAGATTTTTGTCATTTTCCCTATTCCCATACAGGTTATTCTCACATCCCAGGCTATCCTTCCCCATCTCTTCTCTTGTCATTTCTCAGTTTTTCTCTCTTATCAATTCTCATTTGTTGTTAGTACCATGGAGTTGATTCCATTTCCTAGTGACCCTGTGTACTGCGGAGCGGAACCCTGCCTGGTCTTTTTTGCGCCATCCTCTCACCTTCCAGTGCTATATTAGACAATGCTCCACTGCTATTCACCAGGTTTTCATGGCCATGGTTTTTTTAAAAGCAGAGTTACTTCCTAGTGTATCATATTACCATAAATGGAACTTTTATATGGATTTTCAAAACCAAATCAATATAGAACAGTTAAGAATACAGACCCTTGAGTCAGACTGTCTGGTTTATATCATGGATCTAAGCTGTATCTGCTGTGTGATATTGGGCAAGTTACTTAACTTCATTGTGTTTCACTTTCTTCATCTTTAAAATGAGGAAAGTCATAGTATTTTCCTCATAATACAGGTAAAGGACTTAGTACACTTTCTGCCACCTGATGATCACATATAAGTGTTAGTTAACATCATTATTATTATCTGTCTATGAGAATTCGTAAGCCAGCCCTGGTGGTTTAGTGGTTAAGATTCCACACTTTGTTTCCCAGTCAAGGAACCACACCACCCATCTGTCAGTTGTCATACTGTGGCAGCTGCATGTTGCTGTGATGCTGAAAGCTATGCCCCTGGTATTTCAAATACCAGCAGGGTCACCCATGGTGGACAGGTTTCAGCAGAGTTTCCAGACTAGGACAGGATAGGAAGAAGGACCTGGCGACCCACTTCCGAAAAAAAAATTGGCCATGAAAACTCTATGAATAGCAAAGAGCATTGTCTGACATAGCATAGGAAGGTGAGAGGATGGCACAAAAAGACCAGGCAGGGTTCTGCTGTCCTGTACACAAGGTCGCTAGGAGTCAGAATCAACTCAACAGCACTAACAATAACAACAATACCCAGAGAGGTAAGCAGGGCATTGTTGCAAAAGGGCATTTCCAAACCAGGTGAATTCAGTATCTGTCTTGATGCCCTCACAGGACACAAAGTTCAGAAATCAAAGTCTAGGGCTCACCTCAGGTAGAGAGTATAATGCTCTCCCGACATAAAGCCAAGGTCGGAAGGAAACTCAATCAATCCAATCCCCAGAATGCTGCAGGAAATTTGCCTTGACATTGAAAAAAGAAAGAGGGTGGCAATAATTGCCTGTCTTGGAAATATCATAACCACAAAAATGTTATTAGATGAATTTACAGCCTAGATTCATACCACTTAAAAAACTTCAAAAAAACTTCAAGCTGTGAATTTAGTTTAAAATGTTTGGGATTAGTAGTGCCTAGGAACTTTACTGTAGCAAACTACAGCAAATCCGTTTTGGTGGAAGGTACCTCTATAATGGGTTTCAAATAATTATCACAATTAATTTTCAAAAGAAAATGATTAGTCACAATAAAAAATAACTGGCACACAAGGAAACAATTCTCAAGAGATAATTGGAAGTAACAACATGATGGCAGTGAGAGATTTTATAATTATCA